GTCAGACACGACTGAAGTGACTTAGTCACTTCACACACACACACACCTATCAAGAGAGATTAAAAATAACCCAACAACACCGAGAGCTGGTGACGGTGACAGAGGCTAGACTCGAACACTACTGGCAGCATAGGAAATGGGGCAGCCGCTTTGGAAGAGAGTTTGCAAGTTTCCTATAAAGGTAAAAATAGGCTTTCACATGACCCAGTAATCCCACTCCTAAGCGTTTATTTAGGAGAAACAGGAACTGATGTTCACACAGAAAACATGTACATGAATATTTATAGTAACTAAACCCAGAACAACACATACATCCCTGTGAAAGGGTAACAAACTGGAAGATGAACACCATGGACATCACTGGGCAGCAGAAAGGAATGCAGCACCTGCCATATGACAAAGAGCATTCTCAGTGACACTGTACTCTCTGAGATGCCACCAACATGATATTCTCAAAAAGACAAAGCTACATCTATAGAGAGAACAGTGGACGCCGGGGAGGCTACAGATGAGCATGGTCTACACCCTGAGTAGGGTGATGGTCACAAAAATCTCTATGGATCAAAACTCCCTTATGGCTCAGTGATTAAGAGTCCACCTGCTGGAGACACGGGTTTGGTCCCTGATCTGGGAAGATCCCACATGGCATGGAGCAACTGGGCCTGTGCACCATAACTAAAGATGCCACCGCAATTAGAAGCCTGCACACTGCAACTACAGAACAGCCCCTGATCACCGCAGCTAGAGAAAGCCTGTGCAGCAAAGACCCAGCACAACCAAAAATAAATAAATAAACTATAAAAATAAAATAAAACTCAAGACAACCGTACACCAAGAAAAGGTTCATTTTATTGTGTGTTTACTTTTAAAAATTAAAAAAAAAAATCTGGACTTGGATTTCTTGTTTGGTTTGCAACTTATTCCTCTAGCTAGTCATTTTTGTTGTAGTTCACAAAAAGTATCAGCCTGTAACACATTGGAAATTACAAAAAATATAATCTGGTCCTTCACCAAAAACAGGTAAGGAAGAACTATAAGTGGGACTTTAGGGTCTGAGAGAAGGGCTGACCACACCCCACAATGGTGGGCACCCCAGGGTTCCCAATTCCCACCCCTCTCTTTTTATTTATCATGAATTCAAGTTCACACATTTATCAATTGTGGTAAAAGTTGTAAGACTGCTCACCTTACCCATTCCTACACGAACCATTCAGTAATGTTACCTGTTTGCACGTTATCCTGTAACATATCTCTCACTTATTTTTTGGCCGAGGCATGTGGGATCTTGGTCCCCCGACCAAGGATTGAATTCTCACCCCAGGCAGTGGAAGTGTGGAGCCCTAACCAGAGGACCACCAGGAAATTCCGTCTTAATTTTTATGTAACTGAATATACCAAATCTCTGTAAATGTATCAATCTATTTTTCCCCATTTTTGTTCAATAAATCCTTTTCCATCCCCTAATCCAAAGTGACTTCTCCTACACTGCACTCTAAAGCTCTGTCGCCTTGCCCACAGGTAACCTCTCCATCTGGAGTTAACCTGGGCGAGACAGACCAGCTCCGCTCGTCCAAGTGATGCCAGTCAGTCCCAGAAGCCCTGAAGAATGGCCCGTCTCACCCTGGGCCCGTGGGAAGGCTCTCTATTAGGTTTCATTCCAAGTATACTATATTCAAAAACCTTCAAAATTACCTGAGGTTCAAAAATTTCTACAAGAGCTACAAATTCTTTGTTACTTCTACACATACCATTACATAATATTTAAAACAATCATGTTTTAACACAAACACCTACTATGAAAACAAGGTAGATTTAAAAGCCTTGAGAAGGCCTTTCCTGGTGGCTCTAAAAAAATTGTCTTTAAAAAAGAGCAGGGCCAGGCTTCCCTGGTAGCTCAGTGGTAAAGAATCCACCTATCAATGCAGGAGACACAGGTTGGATCCCTGATCCAGAAAAAGCCCACATACCTCAGAGCAGCTAAGCCTGTGTGCCACAACTACTGAAGCCCTAGAGCCCGTGCTCCACAACAAGAAAAGCCACTACAGGAAGAAGCCCACGCACAAGAGTAGCCTCCTCTAGCCATAACCAGAGAAAAGCCTGCACAGCAACAAAGACCCAGCACAGCCAAAAATTCAAAAAAAAAAAAAAAAAGCCTTGAGCAGGTAATCCCCAGAGTAACACCTCCCGGTGTGCAGACAGGTGTGCTCTATGATCCTCCGGGGGAGGCAGTGGTGCAAGGCCATAGTGGGCCACTCACTGTCTCTGCTCCACTGAGATGCAGTTTCTAGGGCTGCCATGGGCACTGCAGCCTCCCCACCCACCACTGGTCATCCCAGAAGTGTGGCTGGACAAGCAGCCTGGAAAGCCACTGTGTTGCCAGGGGCAGGAGGACGGAGTGCCCAGAGGCAAGTTCCAGGACACAAAAATAACACATCATATCATGGGCCATCTGAACACAGAGGAGCTAAGAAACAGGCTAACAGTGTAAGAATGGCTGCTAGGAATCTGGGGGGAGAGAGGCACTGCTCTCGGAGGAAACGTCATCAGGGCAGGGACCAGACTCTGCTTAAACAATGTATGCACAAGTGGGAATAACATGGATTTTCAACAGTAAACTTACAAACCAACAACTTTATGGTTACAAAACATGATGCAAATGTCTGCCTTGACAACATAAAGGTAAATGGACAAAGAAAAGTCACAGGGAGGAGGAGGGAATAGAGGCCAATGTCCTTCAGGTTGTAAGATGACAGTGCAGGACAAAGTCTGTCACACGGGGACTGGAGCACACTACACTGGGCAGGACGACAAGGATGCTGCGGCTCGAGTCAGGACAGCAGGAGCAAGGGTCTGTCAGGGGACGCCAGGGACCACCAGACAGCACTTCAGGGACAGCTGCTTTGCCCCCACACTCGGGGCCTGACCCTCAGAAGAAAAACTTCACTGAAAACAAAAATACTAAAGCTGAGACACAACTGGTGTCCCGAAGACCGCTGACCTCTCTTCTCTGAAGGGATCTTCCTTTGCAATCCATGATGGACCTGGGAAAAAAGGACCTCGGGCACCTCCTCAGGCAGGCGAGGGCCAGCTTTCCCCAGAGCAGGGACAGATACACGGGAACACCCATGGTCTGCACGTTTACCCTGAGCTCATCATCTATTCCAGCAGGAAAACGTTAGTACACTGCAGAGCAGGAGGAAATGGCTACCGATGACCACAGGTGCATCGAAGCAATTATAAGCAGAATCAGCAAACATGGGAGATGTGAAAGGGTTGCTGCCGAGTATCATGGTCATCTGCTACCTTTGCTCCTAACTTAAAATGAATGTCAAATGTAAAAATGTACAGAATTTTTTCCTCTAAGAAAACAGAGGAACTCCTAAAGATGACACGTTTCTTCCTTCATTCTAAGGATAATAAAAAGCGACAGTGATGCCAAGCCTTAAAATAAAGAGAAACAATTAAGTGAGTAAAAGAGGTACCTCTTTAAGAAGGACTCGCTGCCATCATCAGCGTCCAAGGGAGGACCAACCCATCAGAGAGCAGCAGCTAAGCCACGCCTGCTCACTGAGAGCGTGTGCTCCTGTACTGAAGAGAGTGGGCACTCTGCACACAGAGGGAGCGACAGGCTGACCGGTACGGGCTCAGCAACACCCCGGGGGGAAACTGAAAGGCCCCAGCAGGGCCACACTCAAAGCCTTTCTGAGGAATAAACCTGCTGCCTCAGTCCTGGCAGAGCGGTCAGCACATCTGTGGAATTAATTTTATCAGTTGTGACTTATGTCCAGAAACCAAATAAGGATTTTCTTTCATAACCTAATGCTTTCAGTCAAAAGGAAAAGGTCAGAAGTTGATCAAAGTTAACTTACAGTTTGAATACAAGGAGAGTCGAATTGAACATACTCAAAAGCCTATGACTCCGAGAGGAGGCTGCCGACAGCCCAATGTGGATGGCAGTGCCTCACTCCTGCCCTGGCCCTCCTGGTCAGCATCCCTGAGGCACAAACAGTAGGGCGACACTGCCTCAGTGTAAAGGGGCCTAAAGCAAGCTAGAACCCTCACACCCAGAACATGACCGACGGACACATACCGACAGACACAGTGACATACCCACCATCTCAGCACTGGAGCTAACAGGTACTCACCTATGTGCAAGGCTGCAGCAAGAGATTCTAGGTGGATCATGCTATGACCAGACATTTCCAGAAAACTTCAACGTATTCCCAAAGCTGAATGTGAAACTAGACAGTGGAAGGCAAAAGTGTTTCTTATAAAAGTAATGGGCAGCAGAGCTTTCTGGGTGCTGGTGTTCTACACTCAGAACGCCGACAATCTCAGAGGACTGAAGTCACAGGCCCCTTCCACCCAGGGAGCCATCCACTGCCCCTGACTTTCAGCGAACAGACTGCACATCAGCAGACAGACTGAAGAACAGGAGGGATGTGTTCTATGACAGAAAAGGCAGATGCGACAGGCTCAGGTTCAAGTCCACTCTCATGAATGACTACCAGGAAAGATCAACACAACACTCAAATCCTCAACTGTGAACATCACATGAAAATGCTTGTGACCGAAATCACAGTCACTCAGAAGTACGCAGGCTAAGAGACCTACTTAAGGCTGCAGGAGAGCCTGGGGGCTCTGAGCAGTGCAGGATATGACACTGACAACCCAACGATCCATCACCCTGGGGGCAGTGCCACCACTAGCGAGTGGACTGGACGCTCCAACTCCAGAATGAACGGAAGCTTAAGATGCACTCAGTGGGTGAAAGTCCATAAAATGTGGCAGATGCAGCCATGATGCCTTCTGCGTCTCACCAGTCAGGGCCGCTCCCCGGGGCGGGCCAGCCCAGGGTTCCCACTGTGGGCTGACTTTCTCTGATGAAGCAGTGGGCCAGCTCCCTGAAGCTAGAACCAAAACCAACCATTCTGTCAAATCCAGCACAAAACCAAGTATGAGCTACACCGACCACCCGGTGATAAGCCATCTGTAAAGAGATGTCTGATGTCAGAGGTGAGCATCAAGACACATGAACGTGCTATTGCAGTTATACTGGTGACAGGCCTCGTGACTATCATGGAAATTTCACCAACACAGCAGTTACAGTCTAGACGTGCTCACCATGTACAGGCATTTGGGGCACACATGCTCTAGACCAAGAGGTCTGTGGGGCAGGTACCTAGTCCAGGAGGGGTGGAAGGGCAGCTCTCAGGTCACCTGCCTGGGCTGGAGCCCAGTTCTGCCACTTATGGGCTCAGAGACCCAAGCAGTTACTCAACACCTCCACCTCCTTTACATCCAGTAGGGCTGGAGATGGCCTGGCATGGAGTATCTGTAAGCAAGCTCCTGCAAACTGAGGAAGACAGCGCCCGGTACATGATAAACATGAGCAATTACTACTTTGGCCTCCAATGTACAGATGAGAAGACTACACAGACAAAGTTCATAATGGTGAATTAAAGTTATGTAGGTTATACTTAAACTCTCAGCTTGAACACTATTGTTGCATACATTTTTTTGTTGCTGTTACATATATTTTTGACATAAAAACCAAAGTTCAAAAAAAAAAAAAAAAAACCAAAGTTCACTAATTTGCCTTGTCATCTGCCTTTTAAAAATACAGGAAAAGACCTGCCTTCAAGACTTTAGGGGGGTAGCCTGTGACCAGGTAAGGTTGTATCGAGCTGCTGCTCACTGAAACCCATTCTGCCCCTGTGATCACCACAAAGAGGTGCGCTGTCCATCAGCTGGATGGTCATTCTGGGGTGGGGACAGGACAAAGACTGCTGCCCACTCCAGAGGGCAGCACAGGGGTCTGATGAAGTGACAGGTTTACCTCACGAACTGCAATTCTGTGAGCAGTTTAAGGAATGCTACAATAAAAGGAAGATCATAAGAACTTCACTTATGGTGGTCAAGTGGTTAAGACTCTGCTCCCAATGCAGGGGGCACGGGTTTGACCCCTGGTCAGGGAACTAAGATCCCACAGGCTGCACAGTCCAGCCTTGGGAAAAAAAAAAAAAGGAAAAAGGTAGATCACAGATGCTTATGAAGGTTTGCACAGCGCCCCCAGAGGCCAGTAGGTCCAAGAGTGCCCCTAACACCTATGTGCACTGCAATCCGCCAGCCTGAGTGAGGATGAGATGGCTGGACAGCTGGCCTACTCGGCCGCCAGGACAGCCCCCTGTTATCCTTGTCATGGATCAATTTTTATAAAAGAAAGGGCAGGGGCAGATGAAACAAGTGTGGGCGTCACACTGGTACTACACACCAGGGAGTAGGATGCTGCTGCTAACAGTCAGCTAGAATCACCCAACCAAGCAGGAAGATGCAAGAGAAAATGGCACCAACAGAAACAGCATTTTAAGAAGGAAATCCCGTGCTGTCATGGTAAGGTGTGTGACAACACTGATTGTGCTTAACCCCCAACACCAATCACTGTCAATGTGTCTCCTTATCTATACAATTGGATAACAGCTACCCATGCAAGCTGTCCCGGGGATTAAGGCAGATGCACAGTAAGGAGCCTGGCTGCCTCTCAAGCAGATCGCTTCAGAGGGCTTGCAACTGGGGAGTGGGGGGTGGAGGGGGTAAGCCTCCTCCACATGAACTGTAGAGGAGAACAAACTGCTTCAAACTGAAAAGACAACTACAACTAGACAGTTAAAAAATACTCCAAAGATAATCTTTAAAGTACAGACATTCTAGTTTCATCTTAAAATGAAACTCAGTCATTAAACTGCACTAAAAATTTTAACTTTACATGTGATGAGCCTCATGATTCAAAAGTAAATACAGTCCAGTAAATGGCTTCCCTGGTGGCTTGGTGGTAAAGACTCTGCCTGTCAATGCAGGAGACAGGTTCGATCCCTGGTCCAGGAAGATCCCATAGGCCTCAGAGTAACTAAGCCCATGTGCCACAGCTACCAAATCCTGTGCTCCTAGAGCCCATGCTCTGCAACAAGAGAAGCCACTGCACTGCAACTAGAGTATCTCTCGCTCACCACAACTAGAGAAAAGCCTGTGCAGCAACAAAGATCCAGCAGAGCCCAAAATAAATAAATAATTTGAAAAAAACACAGCACAGTAAAAATTGTTACCTGGAATACAATTTCTTTTTCTAGTTAATTAAAAACAAAACAAAACAAGAAAACAGATGTGGCCTGGTTTCATGCATCAGAAAAAGTCTATCACGAAACTATCACTCTTTTTTATTTAAAAATCTTAACTTAAAGGACATAGCAAAATTTATTACAAGTGGTCAAAAAGATCCTCACATTTTACTATCAAACCCTACAGCAGTACCTAAGTGAGCAGCAAAATGTAAAATATTAAAAGTGTTAAAATCCTTTGTACCTGCCAGAGGGTATACAAATCTGGTAATATGTGGCAAAAACAATAAAGTTTGTATTCCCTGACGCAGAATTTTTCATTATTTATCTTAAGAGATATCCTCTCATGATGAAAGACACTACTTAATAAAGGAAAATTCAATGGGACCGCCTAGCTAAAAATCAAACATTTGCTATGCTGCTAATCCCTTCCAATAATAGAAGGGAAACTAAAAGCCAGGCGGGTGGCACACACTCCCTGTGCAGAGCCCAGTCTGGCTGAGTTGAGGCTGTGACAGGGGCTCAAGGTCTTGGCCCCCAGCCCCCAATTCATTACCTCTGAGGCACCACAGGCCAGGACGGGACAGGTAAGTTCAGTCTAGCACATTTCCACTCCACTGGCCCAGAGAACAGAGGCACAGGGCTCTAGGGAGAGCTCTCTCTAAGAAAGAGGCTGGTCATCCCAGAGATAGCCAGGGCGGGGCAGAGCCCATAGGGGTAGCAAGTCAGCATTCCAATCCTCTGACTCTCAGGACTGCAGCTTTATAACCAATTGGCATAGAATTCCTTAGAACACAGCAACTGAGACTGTACATCCCACTTTGTAAACCACCAGGTTTTCCGGTGCTCTGTGTTCAGTGTAGAAAAATTAAAAGGACAATAAAATTGTAAGTAACTCATAATGAATAAGGCTCATTTATACTCATACAGTCAAGGAATATTCACTGATCACTCATAAGGTATCACACAATTTAAAAATATTACTTGGGTTTAATGTGTCACGAATAAAAGACTATGGTTTCTGTCACAGAACCAAGTTTTAAAAACCAGTCACATGGACGCACCTACAAAGGTGAAAGATTCATGAGTAAAGTGGACCTCTGAAGTACACAGACAACCCCTGAAAAGGAAACATGAGGGCATTTTCATGACATCCACTGAATGCATGATCTCACCAATGTGAACTACCAATATGTCTGCAAAACTCTTGGAATTGGAAACAATTCTTACCTGCTAAAGACAAAATCTATTAAATGTCTGCCAGTGCCAAGAACTAAGGCAGAACGTACCATTTCACTGATATAACATCCTCAAACAAAACTGATGCAAAGGTGACAAAAGACAAAATCGAAACTAAAGACTGTTTTGGTAATCTAATCCTTAAATCTTCTGGGTTGAATTTCGACTGACCAGTAACAGACTGCTATTAATCCTCTTCGGGCGATGTCACTACCTGAGCGTGGCCCTGCCATCAGGACATTAGGCCTAACAGTTCCTTCTTTTCATTTTTGGCCACCCCTCTTGACATACAGGATCTTAGCTCTCCAACCAGGGATGGAACCCATGCCCTCTGCACTGGAAGCATGGAGTCTTAACCACGGACCGCCAAGTTCCCTCATTCCCTCTCTTAAATAAGGGGTAGCATCTTCATAAAATATGAATAGTCTCATTTTCTAGCATCTTTGTCACTTGTATTTAGGAAGCAGCTGAGGACACAGCTTCCTACCTATATCTCCTGTATTCCCCAACAGGCAGTAAGGGCAGGTTCCATGACCCTCATCTCAGTGCTCAAGCACTTGAGCTTGAGTTTCGTCCACTTTCAGGAAGGAAATTCAAGCACAGGCCCTGCGAACACAGACAGGAAGGACTGTGAGGGAGCAGGAGGCAGTCTGCAGCTCGATAATGCTCTGCTCTGCCCAGCCAACAAGAACATAAAAAGGAGCTCCACTGGGAAGCACTGCAGTCTTAACTGCTGTGTGGGGAGCACCGGGAGACCCACAAGGGTGCCATCAAGAGCTCAGAGTCTCTTTCACACTGCGTGTGCAAGAACTGGCTGTCACGTGCTACACCTGTCCCCCGAAGATACAGGAATTTGTCTCCTTCCTGGAAAACTGGCTAACCTCACTGGCTGAGATATGGCTCATCTACAGCACTATACACTCCAAACCTTGTACAAAGTACTTTTAAAAGGAGTTAGGGAATTTTTTTCAAGGGTGATTATATCTGTGTCTATTTGCAGACTTCCCTAAGGGTCTAGGGGTTGAGACTCTACTGTAGGGAATGTGGGTTTGGTCCTTGGTCAGGTAACTAAGATCCCACTTACCCTGTCATATAGCCAAAAAAAAAAAAATCATTTGTAGAACCAATTACACCCCAATAAATTTTTTGTACAAATCATGCTCATTTTATTCCCTGAACTTAGAAGCAAACTCTCACCTTGGATAAAACTCCACCTTGTTCCCTTACCCTCTGCACAGCTGCTGCACAGCACTTTAGTCATTCATTTGATACCCACTGAGCTTCGACTACAGCCCATGACCACGGCAAGCACGTCATGCCTAGGCTCTGAGATGCGCCATCAGCAGCGTGCCAGCAATTCTGCCTGGTGGTAGCAGGGAAGTCAGCACAGGAACCAACACACAGGCCTGACTCCAAGTCCAGGACTGAGATGGAGCAAAGCACTAGTCTGTTTTTTTTTTTTTAGCACTAGTCTTTAGGGTAGCTCAGCCTGGAGCACAGAGCACCCACCCTCTGAGAGCACGGGGGCTCAAGAACACAAAGAGCCAAGAGGTGCGTGGTATCTGTTCAGTCCCGGCACCACGGTAACACAGTGAATGAAAACCAAGAACATAAACTCACTGAGTGAAGGTTCTGGAAATGACTTGAGTTCTTCGGTCACGTAGAAGGATTCAGAGCAGGCCTGAGGAACAGCTCATTTTCATGTGGTTTTAACGGGTTACTCCACCTCACTCATTTTATCAACAAATGTCACTGAGTATCTGAGGCTAATGTGTGGGATTTACTTTTAGGGAAGTTAACTGAAGACAAAAGCTGACAAAAACCTTTTTATTTTGGACTAACTACAAACTGAAAGTTGCCCAAAGGTTTACAAGGAGGTCCAAAGACCTTTCTGACCCACCTCTAACTGGTTGTGCTTTCCCAAAGGGGAGGTAACTTGCCAGACCTCCCTCAGAAGCCAGCACCTCAAGGACTCGGCACTCACCACAGTGACTTCCCAGAGACGCGGGCTGCTGTGCTGCTGCTAAGCTCATCACCTCCACTTTCTCTGTCAGTATTTCCCGGGCATGCAGCACGTGCCAGCCCCTGTTCTCTGCACAAACAGGCTCCCTGTGGACTTTACCTCACAGTAAAAGATTAAGTTATAATAAATATATTAAGTAGGACATTAGGAAAATGAAGTGTGGTGGGAAAACTAAGCAGGGAAGGGAAGCAGGGAACAGGAGGTGGTGAGTTGCTTTTGAATTGTGGTGTTGGAGAAGACGTTTCAGAGTCCCTTGGACTGCACGGAGATCAAACCAGTCAATCCTAAAGGAAATCAGTCCTGAATATTCATTGGAAGGACTAATGCTGAAGCTCCAATACTTTGGCCACCTGATGCCAAGAACTGACTCAGTGGAAAAGACCCTGATGCTGAGAAAGACTGAAGGCAGGAGGAGAACAGGATGGCAGAGAATGATGGTTGGATGGCATCACCAAGTTGATGGACATGAGTCTGAGCAAGCTCCGGGAGTTGGTGATGGACAGGGAGGCCTGCTGTGCTGCAGTTCATGGGGTTGCAAAGAGTCGGACGCGACTGAGCAACTGAACTGAACTGAGTTGAAACAGCAGGCAGGCAGTTGGGGAAGGGCTACCTGCCCTGAGGCTAAAGGTAAGGACGCCAGTGATCTAGGTAGAGCCAGGAAGGAGCAAGGAAGTCTGCCAAGAGACAGGCTGAGAGGCCACTGTGGAAGGGGTCAGAATGAGACAGGGGCCAGAGGGAGGAGACCGGTTACAGAGGCTGGGAGTGGACTGACAGGCATCTCCGCCCACAAGGGTCTCCATCCCAGGCCACAATGGTTCCACAGTTGGGGCCCCCTCAGCAAAGCCGAGTCTCCTCCATGCGCCTCCCAAGTGTCTGCTCATCAGATAACCCCTGGATGCTCTGCCTTCACCATGTTTAAGAGATCCAGGCAAGGGGCTCCAGCAGCATGTGTGCCCCTCACAGCCCCGTGCTGCTGGAAACAACAGCCACCCAGCTCCTGGCTTGGCCACATGCCATCAGAGGTGCCATCGGAGGTGACCCAAGTTCTGCAACCTTGACACAGGTGGAAGAAGAACTGCACAGCTCTCAGGCAGGAAGTTTCTCAAAGCCTGTGAGTCCTGCCTCATAATTTCATCCCTCAAAGTTTGGCAGGTGCCTTGATCCTGAAACTCACTACCACGTTTAACAAGACAGAAGCAAATAAATGAACATAAAATCTCAGGAGCTTTGGTTGAAGTTCCGCCTTGAGGCAACCAGATTATAGATGGGGCAGAATAACTGTTAGGTTAGCAGATAGTTTTTAAACAGACAACTAGCAAGGACAAAGGGTCCAGCAAAGCCACCTCTCAAGTTATGACCCCTATCAAGCCTAAACCTGGAAACCAAAATAAAACGGAAACTTTCGTTTCCTTTCCCTGCATAGCACAACCGAGCAAATATTGAGAACTCATCTCTCAGGCACAAGAAAAGGCGAGTCCTTAATCCAGCCCCTCAACGCAAACAAGTTCGAACCCGCAGGGATGAGATCCTGACCCTCTCTTCTATGACTGCAACACAGGCACTGCTTCAAATGATGCCCTGGCGAGGCAGAAAAAACGTTTTTTTCTTACAAACTGGATGATTTTCACCCAGGAGATTAATTTACACCGCGTCAAGGAACAAAGCTCAATTCCGTGAGCTATAAACATAATGACCCAGACACAGGTTACGTGGCTCCAGGACCGGTGGCTTTCCCCCTCTCGCCCGCAGGACAGGAAAGACCCTCCCCGAGGCGGGGGCGCCCTGCACAGACCCCAGTCCCGGAGCGCGAGCTGCCCCGGGGGCGCCCGGCGGCCGCATGTCAGGTCTTTGGCCGCCCCCAGTGCGGCCCCGGCGGCCCGACCACGGCGCACGGCCTAGGCCTTCCCGCCGCTTGTGCGGCTGCACCGCCGACCCCGGCCCGCCCTGAGGGCTAGGAAAGGGGAGAGGGGGTCGCCGCCATTTCCGGCTGCGGGCGCGCGGCCCCGACGCGCTGCGCCGCGCCACCCCGCACCCCCTCACTCGGCCCCGCGTCACCCTCACCTCGCGCCCCGCCCCCGCTCGCTTAACCCGCCCCCGTCACCCCGACCCCCGCCCGCCTGCCCGGCCGCCCGGCCGCCCGGCCTGACGTGAGGCCGCCGGCCCGCCGCGAGCTCACCTGTCCGTGCGCCCGCCCGCCCGCCGACTCCGCGGCTCCGCTCTTCCCTGCGCGGCGCTCCTGGGCAGCCGGCCGACGCGCTCTTCAGCCGGGTCTGCGCTTCGGGACCCGGCGGCGGCGACGGCGGCGGCGGCGGCGGCAGCGACAGCGGGGGTAGCGGCAGAGGGCGCGGGAGCAGCACCGGCAGAAGCGGCGGGGGCGCGCACGCTCACGCACGCACCCGCACCGGCGCGCGCGCTCCCGGGAGGACGTGGGCGCCGGCGGATCGGAGCCGCGGGCTGGGCAGGCGGCGCGTGCGCCCAGAGCGCTGGGCGGAGGCTCCGCCCCATGGGGCGGAGCCCCGAGTGACAGGAGTGGACCAAGGCTCCCGAGCGCACCCCGGACAGCCCATGGGCGGGGCCCCAGGACCTGTGGGCGGAGCTCGCACAGCTGACTCGGAAGCTTCCACCGCCTCGCACGGGCGGGGCCGAGGGGCCGGACCAAGGGCGGGGGCGGGGCCTGCTCGCCGGAGCGTCAGGTGCTCTCCCGTGCGCCCGCAGGTACTGAGGCCAGATTCGCCAAGGTGGGAGGTGGGGGGACTTGTCTTGCAGTTGAGTTTGCCCCATACTTTACGTAAGACTGAGAAATCGTAATTGATCTAGTCAAAGAACTGGAGAGGGAGCTGGTGGGAGATGACCCGGAGGCCGACGGTCTCTGAGCCACTGTTAGGGACTGACGTTTGCTCATCCCTGCAGCGCAGAGATGCGACTTCCTTCCTGCCTGCCCAATCACCGAAGTGCCACCGCCATTGTCCAGCCCCTCCCAGAACCACCCGCAAACAATGACTCAAAAGGGCAGTTGAACCAACTTCCACTCACTCCCCTGCCACCCAAGATACGACTCCTGCTCATCTCACTGACCCCTTGAGGAAGGGGAGACCTGCTCTCTACCCTTCCCTATCGCTCCTATGTCAGAAACAGTTCTACCATTTACTGAGTGCCTGCTTTGTACCTGGTACACTGCTATGTGTGCCAGTTTTCATCCTAGAAGCTATTCAACAGACTGGTCAGTACTCCTCTGCCTCCTCACCCCCACATTTGCCCATTGGCCATTTTCCACTCAGCGGAGTCATATTCTTAACACAGAAATTTTATGATATCCAAGGCTCCCTGTGACACATTGTGTGTTAGTTGCTCAGTCATGTACGACTCTTGTGACCCCATGAATTGTAGTCCACCAAGCTCCTCTGATGACACATTGAGTAAAATCCAGACTCTTTGCCAACAAGCTCCAGCCCCCTCTACCTCTGTCCTCTTACATCTCTGCCATCATGCTGGCTCTAAACTGCTCAGTCTGTCCCATGCTTGGGGCCTGTAAGTGGCAGAGAGCTCAGGAAGTCGCCTGGCAGTCGTTAAATTGTGCAACATCAAACAGGCAGAAAGAAAAGGCCTATGAAAACCGAGAAGCAGAAGGGCCAGATTCATATCTATGTCCTTTGATTCAAGAGGATGAAAGATTCCAGGCAGAATCACAGAAGGAATGAGAGAATCAAATGGACCCGGTACTAATTTCAGAGTGAAGCTGAGTTCGGCACTGCACAAATGAATGAAGCAGGCCTTAGTGAGTTTCTCCTTGACCTACTAATTCCTCTTTAGGAGTGGTCTAAGAAAATATTCCCAAATACAGAAAAAGGTATATCACTAAGCTGCTCTTATAATAGTAAAAATGGAAACCTAAAAGACATTCAAATGGAACAATATAGTTATAAAATGTATACAGTTACTTAATAACATTGAAAATTCTTTTAAGAGCTCCTGAAAGTAAAATGAGCAAAATGCATGTTAAAAGTACATTATTACAAATATGTTTATAAAAAATAAGGTGCATGGGTGGTTCAATGGTAGAATTCTCACATGCCAAATATGTTTATAAAATAAGTCAGCCTGTTTGGAGATAAAGACAGGAATACCGTCAACTGTGGACAGTGGCTGCAGTCCAGTCCTGCCCTTCACAGGCCCTTTAGTGAGGTCAGGGGGGCACTCTTATCCTCACCCTGACAGGAAACTGGGACTTTATGGAAGCAACTGCCACAGCTGCCCTCCAATGCCAGCCCCACCACTTGCTACAGCCCTTCAAGCTCTCAAAGCTCATCTCATGGGTCAATTATTTAGGGGAGCCACCTGAGGGCTAGGTCCATGTCAAGGTCATCCTTGTCCCCCACAAGGCCTAGCAAACTCTTACCCACAAGACATTTAAATAACTAAATAAATGAAGACCACTTGGAACCCATTTCATCGTCAGCAAGGGTAAATGCTGACCACAGGCAGTGGAGGAAGGTGCTTACCCCACTTGGCGCAGCCTCACACCTCACGCTGTGTGGTGTGGACTGCCGTGCTGTCATATACAATTCACATACAATTTGAAGTCATTCACTTTCCCTGCCTTTGCATCTGGGGCAAGTCGTGCTCTCTGACCCAAAGGAGGTCCAGTGCTCTCAGTAAAACGATTTCCCACTGGGCACATCCAAGACAGAAGGGGCATTGCATGGTGCCCTAGGACAGTGCAAATGGAGGCTCTCCCAGAAGTTTCGGGGAGGTGCAGCCAGCACTCCAGGGCACAGCATTAAGAGAGAAAAGCAGAGCACAGGAAGTGTTAAGGATGGCAAGAGAATGAGAATACACATTCACATGTGTTTGTTTCTGCATGAAGAAAGCACTAGGAGGGTGAAGAGTTATTGGAAGATAGGTGGGGTCTGGGCAGGGAACAGGTTTGAGCCGGCCTGGTGTCCAACCTGTCAAGGATGTATATGCCCTTCCTGTACCACCACGGCTGTTAAGAGTTGCAAGTGGACAACCTCAGGAGTTCAGGCCCAAGTCCTTCAGTGTGTGAATGCTGGCTGGCCTGCCACCCTCTTGCTACAGTGCCCACCTGCATGGCTCTGGAAGCTTGGCCTGGACTCACTGTAGCTTGGCTGGCTCCTCCCCATCCTCCATACCCCTTCCCCAGAGCACTCCCCCCAGCTTTGTCAACACACCCTCTCATGGCACTGAAGATCTGAAATTTGCATTTGAGACCCTGTCTCCTGCCTGCCTCTCCCCAAGGTGCAGGCTCCTGACAACAGGATATGGTTGGGGTTATGGTCGGTTGGGGATATGGTTGGTTACCTGGCCACTCTTTTGCCACCTTCCTGAATGAAGACACATCACATGAGCTGAAGTCTGTTTTCCCCCAAAGAAATGCTTTATTGACAAATCACCATTATTTACTTTATGGAAAAGAGAAACCCAGGATACAGTCATTATCCCTGCATCCTGCCTTCCCACCACACCCCATCTGAGACTCCAAGAGAAAGAGCATGGAGCAGCGTTCCTCCCAAGGCACAGCGTGGACTGCAGCCCCCCCGCCCCCCAAGTGTCTGAAGTGACCAGCACATGCAGGTACCAGGCAGCACATCACAGTCCAGCAGAGAGGACACTAAGCCGATGGCTCCTCCCCCTCGAAAGCACACACAGGTGGTCGAGGTCTCTGCCCACCAAGAGCCTGTAAGGCACAGAGCTGCCCCTCCAGATGCACCAGACATGGGGCCAGGGGTGAGGCTGCTGGGCTGTGGCAGCATCAGAGGAGAAAGAGATCTTTGTAGCTCCTGAGAAAAGGCAACAGCAGAGTCCCAGCTGACCCAAAGCCCCAGCCCTGACCTACCTGCAGGGTCTGCCTGCTGCTTGCCAGCCCCGGCATGTGGCATACCCACAGGCTGCAGCTGCTGACCGGGGAGGAGCCAGCTAGGGCTGGCTTGCGCAAGGGCAAGGCTGGCCCTCCATGGAGGGGCTGGTCTTTCTCCTGCCTCCATCCCCACTGGCCAGCAGGTGCTGCTGTGGTCACCAAGAGAAGAGAAGCCAGTTTCTACACAGGGATGGAGTGCGCTCATGAAATAAAATACAGCACTGGCACAGCCGTGCTGCCCCTTGGCTGGATGCAGGGTTTTACATAATGCTCAAAACCCACAGAAGAATCCTCGTTTGTATATAAAAACATTATAAACAAAGCATAAGGCGATGTAAGGCGTGCATTTCAGCTTGAGTCCAAAGAAATACTTTCTAACTATGAGGCTAAAGCTGCTTCGCTTAGTTTTACTTTTTGAAAAACCCACTGCATTTATAGAAAATAAAGACTTTGCTTTTGTTAAAGCTAGATTGTTAGTGTAACAATTAGGCAGCTGCTGATAATCAGCTTCTTTCTGGAAGGTCTCAAAACATGGATAGTCTTCCTGTTTAGCATTTTGAAATTAAACTGCAGATCAGGCAGGGCTTTCTGGATGACTCGTCCTTCTGTGACTTATGGAAAGACTTCAGAAAACACAGCGCATTTTACACTTATCACATTCCCCCCTTTAAACATGCTGACCAACTAAGAGATTCCCAACAGAAGCCTGGCTTTGGCTCAGTCACCCTGGGACCCACCATCCAGCCCACTCCCTGCCCTAAGGCAGGATGGCGAAATGACCTGCTGATCTGACAGAGGGGGAGGCATCTGTGGACAAGGCGTGTTCTCTGACCCATGCGAGTGCGGCGACCACGTCTCCATAGGGATGGCATAATTGTCCTCCACACCCACCACTCGAAGTTGCAGTTGTGGCGATGAGGGTGTGCTTATTCCATGGCCGGGCAAAGTCGCTACAGTCTTAGAAAGGTATGTGATCGGGCAAAGGTCTGTCACCACTCCCCGTTGGAGAGGGAAGGTTGTCACCACCATTCTCTCTGCCACCGACAACTTTAGACTACAGATGGGGAAAGACCAAGAGAGAAAAGCATGAGACAGGGCACATACATGACAGATCCTACCTATGCCCCTCCTAGGAGTTCAAAGAGTCAATTTCTATGGGAATGTATGTAATGTGAACGCCACTCAGCAACAAAAGGAACAAACCACTACCACAGGCAATAGACTAGATGTCACTCTGAGGAATAAGAGTAGAAAGAGCCAGGCCCCAAAGTCTGCACACTGATGCATGCAGTCATGCACTGTATGACTTTCTCAAGACGACAGAAATGGAGAGCAGATTAGGGGTTGCCCAGGGTAGGGTGGGGGAAGGCAGGCTGTGGTCTCCGTGGGGATGAACTGTGCTCTGTCATGACTGCAACAGTGTTCTCTCCTGGTTGTGACACTGCTGGATATCACCACGGGAGACCGCACAGGGTACAAGGGCTCTCAGTATCAGTTCCTGTGACTGCACGTGAACCCACATGACAAGTGACAGGCCCTGAGCCAGCATACTGGGTAGCCCAGGTCCAGGTCAGTTACCTTGATGGTCCCAACTCGGTCCTCAAATGACTTGAAGGTAGCAGAATTCCTTTAAAAAGAGAAAAAGATGTCAGTACTGTAAGGAACATGTGGTTGTGTGCCCTCCTAAATGTGAAGGGCCTTGGGGTTAGGGTCATCCTTTGGAGAGACCCTAGAGAGATCCCCAGGTCTCACTGTAAAAACGTGACAAGCCAAAAGAAGGTAAGGGGACACACACGTTCTGGAGGCTCCCCTAAGACAGAACTGAGATCAGCCACACCCACCAACTGCAGGACAGAGGTTCTGCATGCCAGCAGCTGGTGAGACCCAGACTTCATGTGGGCGAAGAGCAGACCCCCTCGACTGGACGGAGGAGGATGCTGAGCACGTGATTCTGCTGCACCCTAAGTGCACACATCCTGGGGTTACTGAAAGTCCCACATGTTCTTCACACAGATCTCTCACAGAAGTCGAGCAAGAGGAAAACTAAGGCCCATTTTAAGAGCAGAGAGCGGTGAGGAGGCAGAGAAGCAGGCAGGCCAGGCCCAGGTCCCCCGCCCTACCCCTTCCCCAGGCCCAGGCCACCAGAGGCAGCCTGTCAGTGACCCCCAGGCATGCTCAGGGAGGGGAGGTAGCAGCTGGAGCAGATTCCTCTGGGATGAAGACAGCTCTGTGGGGACCCAGGCTGCACTATAGAGCAGGAGAGCATGGGTGGGGGCTTCGAGGAGGAACAGGCCATGGCTCTGGCTGTTCTCAAGATAAACAGTCTCCGTAAAAAGCTTGGAGACCCCTGGCAGCCTCCTGGGTTCTGGTGTGTGCAAGCCTCCCTGCCCCTTCCAGCCCAACCTGAGGGCAGCCCTGGAGAATCCCACGTAGAGCCCAGTTTGGGCCTCACCCCCACCAGCTCTGCAGCCTAGAAGGGGTGTCTCCCAAATCTGAGCCAGAGACTGACAGGGAAGGTGGTTCCTGGTCAGGGGTGTGGGGGATGTGCAATGAAGCAGCCAGAGCCACCCCCTCCCACCAGCCTCCCAGTGGGGTCCCAGCAGGCTCAGGCAGCTGTGGGGCACAGGAGCACGTTACCTCATGGCCGGCATACTTATGGAGTGGCGGATGGAGTGGCTGCTGCTTGGAAGCGTGGGAGGAGCAGAGAAGGAAGAGTTAAGGCAAGGAGAGGACCGGCTCCCCGTGCAGGAAGCTGAGCCCCACCCCCAGTACCAGGGAAGAACAGAGAAGCCTCACAAGCCCCGCTTCCAACCAGGAAAACTGACCCTGGTACCCCCTGCATGGCCCCAGAAGTGTGGCACTGTAGGGGGAAGGCACCAGGACAGGATGCCCTCAGACTAGGCATTAAAAACATTTCTGGTGCAAAGAGCCACCAAGCAACCCATGTGATTTCACAGCAAGTCCCAGAAAAACAAGCAGGCCAAGTATGAATATCAAAAGTCACGACTGTTCTGGAGTTCCTGGCCTCCAAGCAGGAGAAGCGGCTTGATCAACATGAGCTAAAGGACACTCAGAAGGCTGTCTGACCGGGGACCAAGAGGCCAAGGATGGAAAGGAGACCAGCTCCCTGTCAAGGGCAGGACCACTCCTGGGGGAAGAAGACACGGGGACACGATGGCTCAAGGGCCAGTGTAGCCCCTCCCAGGACGAGTCAGGGCGGGCCAACAGCTACCCTGTGAGGCCGAGTTAGAGCGGGCAGCAACAGCACCCAGCCAGCTACACAACCAGGGGAGGAGCCCTGCACCAGTCCCAGTGATGGTGACCACCTTGCTGTGCTGCCCCCACCATCCACACAGTCCCCTAGGGCCGGCTAGAACCTCCCAACCCTGAAGCATAGACAGCCCTGCCTGGCACATCGTGTCAGTCTTACCTAAAGGAGTGTGAGAAGGGCCGAGCCCTGAGGGGCAGCAGCAGGAAGAGAGAAGAGAGGCAGCGTTAGGAGGGGTGTCCCGTCCCACCCCGGCCCCGTGTTCGAGACCACCCCGCCGGGGGAGGACACGTGCTCCTGTCCAGCCTCTGCCCCACTCTCGCTCACACAGTCACATGTGAGGGACCTTTTGTCTGACTCCGTCACAGGCTGGAGAGAAGGAACCCGGTGAAACAAGCAGAGCAACAGCGTGAGGCACTCCTCTGCCCCCAGGGTCTGTACCTCACCCAGGACCTAGGACCCCATCAGCCTACACTCCAGCCAGGCCAGTGTGCCCCCCGCCACCTCGACAGGGCCTGCAACACCCCCAAGCACTGCACGCTTTGGCTGCATCAACACAGATAACAGAAGATAACCAAAAAACCAGAACATATGCAAGGGCAGCCGATGGGGTCGGGGGGGAAGGGGCCACGGCTCCCCCCTCCACCCTGGTGGCCACCCCAACATGAAGATCATTTCAGAAGTGACAGTCACATGGCCTGAGGCACCTGTCGTGCTCTGCTGGGCAGCAGGACCTACTCCGCTCGGCAGGAGAACAAGCCTGATAGTGAGAAGAGGTGCATGTCTCATCAAAGGTCACCTAGCCAGATGGAGGCCCGACCTCACTCTAACTGGGCCTTTGACGCTAATCCATTTCCCTGGGGATGCAGCAAGCCACTCAATGGCCTGCTCCTGGATGGGCCCCTCTAGACACCCGGGGGACTGCTGTCCTGAAGGACAGAGCAGCGCCTGACCCTCAACTTTCGAGGGAAATCCCCTGGGCCTGGTTCTCTCTGTCAAGAAGTGGAGACTCTGTCAGCTTCGAGCTCCAAACCACAGAGGTCAATGGGCCTCGACCTCAAGCCACCCGAGACCATGTGTGAGGCAATGGGGACACATGGACGGGCCCCTCAGACTCAGTTCACAGCAGCACTGGGATCACAAGAGCAAAGCCAGCAGCAGGCACACGGGGCCTCAGGATGAGACCCCAGCCAACAGGAACCGTGACCAGGGGCCGGTTCCTCCACTGGAAGGGCTCACACATGGCAGACACAGCACCAGCCACAACAGGGCCACCCTGGGTTCTGAGCAGAATGGGGCACACTGAGCTCTGTCCTCCCAGAGCGAAGCCACATGTGTGAGAACTGCCCAGCGGGCTCGCCTGCACCAGGGGTTCTACCCTCTCGCCTGACTTCCACCTAGGATGCTCTGAACATGTGCGACAGTGAGAACACTGAACCCGAGGGCATGACACCGCAAGTCAAAGAGAACATTCCTAGAAGAGAACAAAGCAATCCTGTCACCTGCTTCAGATGCTCTATCACCAGCCTGGCCCCTGGAGCAAAGAACAGGCATAAGCAGGAGCGCCCCCCACCTGGTGACAGGCCCTAGGAGCCTGGCCACGAGGGGCATGTGACCAGCTCACTGCCAGGCATTCCTCCGCCCAGCTCAGGTGGCCACAATGGGCATCCCACCCAGCACCAATTGAGACTCATCCAGGAGGACATGTTGAGCAGTGCAAAGCCTGGGGGAGCGATGGCCATAGGCCCTCCTGGCCACTGTGCAAAGCCCCGCTTGGGGGTCCCTCTTGTGTCCAAGTCACTGTCACCATGGGCCAGGCTTGCATGTGAGGGCAGTCTGCAAGGACCCCTAGTGCAGGGGGAGTACCCCTGAGGCATGGATGCCCCCTGACTGTTCAGCTTCTCCAAAGGTTTAAATTTTTTCAAAATAAAAAGCTGAGGGTGAGGGAGTGAAGAGGTATAATGATACCAAATGATCAAGAATAAAAGGTAATCATGGCTCTGGGCACCAGCTGTCCCTAAACAACTGGGTGAGTCCCGGGGCTGGTGAGTGCCTGTGGCCCAGTGGCCAGGGCAGGGTTCCCACCTTGAGGCCCAGGAGATGACCTCAGGCCATGAGGTGGGGAAATGCGTACTCTACACAGGCAGGAAGGGTGAGAAGTAAAGGGACAGGGCTGGGCGGACCCTCAACACGAAGTTCAGCAGGCCAGGCCCACAGCAACCCCATGGGATTATCAGCTGTGAGGGGACAGGGCAGGGCTGGCAGCAGAACCCAGGGCCAAGTCCAGGGTTCTGGCGAGGAGGCTGATCCATGCTGCCTGCTGCTCTCACTGATTCACCCCAACAACCCAGAGGAAGGCCTGAGGGGCAACAGCAGAGCCCAGAGCATGAAACTCAGGGTGGAGTCTGGTGTGGGAGTGTCATGGCCATCAGGCTGGGGCAGGCACTGCTGCATGCTGGCCTCCAGTTCCCCTGGCCTGCTTCAGAGGCACTCAGGCAGCCCCCAGGGTCTTATCCACTTCCAAGACAGACTGCTTGGTTGGGGGCCCCAGAGTGCAGCCACACGCTCTCAAGAGCAAGCCAGGCAAACACACCACGCTTGTCCTTGACTTGTCCATGCTGCCACTGCCCCCAGGCCAGAATCATCTGTCCTCCATGAACGTCATCAAGAACCACAGCCTTCACCAACCCCAAGTACAGTCACCCACGGGCACAGGAACCTCCCCACGACTCACCATGAGAAAAAGGAATGGCAAAGAGAGGCCAGTAGAGGCAGGTTTGTGAACTAACCGGTCTGGGGCTGGTGTGGCCACATCTGTGGGTGCTGAGAAGCACCTGAGGTAGGTGCATCTGCCTACTCTGGCAGGCTTCCTGCAGACCAGACCCTCCAATGGATCTAAACACCCTAGAACCCCACCTGCTCGGCCCAGGTCTCAGGGCAGAGGTGTCGGACCGGACCAGGGAGTCTCACCTCATGTCCCCAAGCTTCCGGCTGATGGCAGAGCCCACTGTGGACAGGGCCGCTGAGGTCTTCTGTCCCGCCTGAGACAGGGTTTCCTGGGTTTTCTTGTAGCTGGAAGGAGAAACAGTGGTTAAATGAACCATACAGAAGGTGCAGTCATAGCCCATATGCCACAGACAAGGCGACCAGAGAAGAGAGGGGGTGGTTGGGCCAGTAACCCGGGCCCCCAGGGAGGGGACTTGCATATGGACAGAGCAGCACTGCCAGGTCATGACTGCACCCACCCTGCAATAACCCTGTCTTCTGTTCTTCCTATAACGCAGGCTTTCCTCCTCCCCCTGTGGAAACTCACTTCTCTACCTCCCCGACTTCTATAGCAAACAAGCCCACAGAGCTCAGGCACACAAGCCCCTAGGGGCCTCACATGGCTTCTCTTTTCTCTTATCCAAGGCAGTCCTCTGAGGACAGAACAGCTCGACTGCACCCATAGGGTTTGAGCCTGGCAGCTCAAACGGGTGGTGCCCGGCTGGCCTTCAGACCCCGAGCAGCCCCTCCAGCCCTCCTGTTCTGTGTCTACCATGTCCTTTGAGAACGGGGAGACGTAGCTCCACCTCATGCCACTGTTCTGGCTCAAGGAGATGGTCTTGGCACCCTGTGGAAATCTCTTGCCCCACCCACCCACAAGATAGCTTGTGACCTCAACAGCAGTAGGACAGGCACCAGTGGGTTGCCTGGGCCACAGGGACGGCAAGGACACCCCTGGGCCAACCCTGAGCCGCCAGCCCCCACCACAAACAGAAGACACAGCAGCCTAAACCCAGAGGCTCCTGCTGAGCCCACTTGGCACCCCAAGGAAAAGAGAGCTCAACATGGCAGAGGTGCCCACCAACTCCAGCCTTCCTGGCATCCCAGGTCACAGGGTGGGCTTGGATGGCACTGGCTGGGAGCTCTTGGCCCCCTTCCACATCTACCCCCAACCATTGCCTGCAAGAGCCCCTATGTAAGCACCTGCTGCCCACACCCCTCAGGCCGGCCTTGTGCCTCAACCCCTGCACTCCCCATCCTGTGGGGACAGCCTGGTCCGAGCACCCTGGAGGGCCTCCTCCTCTGGGCAGTGGCCCCTCACAGCACAGCGGGGCCTGGCCCTCAAAGCATGAACTGCTTCCCAGCAAGTCTGGAAATACCTTGAAGTCACTAAGGCATAGAGTTTACCTTAGTTTCCAGGAAGATCAGTAATTCTTGAACATACTGTTAACAGCAGGTAGAAAACAAGTTCCAAAATCCTTGCTGAAGACTATGCTTCTGGGTTTTTTTAATTCAATAACTAATAAGATGTCTAATTCTCATTCCAGGCCTTAAAAAACCTGACAACCAAAAATTCTTCCCTCCCAGTGACAGTCTGACACAATCTCAGAACTAAAATGAACAGGAACTCAACATCCAACCAACCTGTCCAGTGACCCAAGGATCTGGACAACTGGGTCCTGGACAAGCTTCCCCCAGTGGAAGAACAGGTCTGCTCTAGGCTCCAGCTGATTCGCACTAAAACCCACAGTCCACACCCTCCTCTCGAAGGGTTTCCAGATGGACTGTGCTGCAGTTCCCTACGGCACCCTCTGACCTGATGGTGCCTTCACCCGGAGCTGCCCCCTAAACCATGGCCTGTCTTGGCGTCTTGCAAGACATGGCAACAGAAGTGGAGCGTCCAGAGGGCGACTCAGAAGGGTGCTCAGGCACTAGAGCCACTCTGGGCTACTCCGTAGGGCAGCACCCCGCTGGGACAGATGTGGTGCAGAGGCCAGGATGTGTCTGCGTCCAATAACTCAGCCCAACCTGTGCTTGAGAGCATCACGCTATGCCACGCTGCTTGACTGTCGGTGAGAGGGAGGGGCCACCGGGATGCTCCTTCTCCGGGGAGAAGACCTCCTGCAGACCCGTGGGGGGTTGGGGATCTGTCCCAATGACTCCCATACTGAGCCACCTTGTTGTCTGGCTACAAGGATGGGAAGATACAGTCCTGCCTCACCAGGCCCCCTTAACCACAGAGGAGCTGCTTGCAAACAAATTCACTGTGGGGAGAGTTGAAGGGGGGTGACACACACTGGGAGTGCTGGTCAGAGCCCCACACAGGTGGCCTAGAGTGGGGGTTTCTCACCAGACGAGGTCTACCCCTCCCTCCTAAGCTGACACTATCTGTAGCCGTACTTTCTGTCACCTGTGACCAAATAGGTTAATATGCCAATGAGTGACTGTGAGATTCATTGATGTTCACTCTAAGCACGATTTTAATTCTGATCTACCTAAGAAAGGATCCCATGAGGTGATCGCTTCCATGACCAATAGAGAGCATGGCTGCTGAATCAACAGCTGGGCTGAAACCCCCGAATGGCATCAACCTGCTCATGACAGCACCATTGCACCAGAGCCGAGCACTCAGGCTGCAAACATCTCACTTCCTCCCTTCCGGCCACACTCTCATTCACTGAAAGGGATCCACAACCACAAGAATTAGGGAAGACAAGGCGCTGGCTCCAGCCACACCTTCCCCTCCAGAGGCTGTGGGCAAGGAATCCCGGTAATGGCCTCCTGCAGCCACCAGCCAGGCACCCCGAGACTGCAGAACAGCTGTCTCATGCTGTCCGCCTCCTGCGCTGTCACTGCAGAGACTTCTCCAGGCCTGACAACTCTCCCAACAGATCTGGGGCTGAGACCTCACGGCCATGGCCACTGCCTGATGAAGCACGTTAAAACAGCCAATCCTGCCAGCCACACTTACAGGCCCAGAGCCATGGAGTCCATTCAGAGGAGTCAGAACTGTGATCTGGGGAAGCAGTGCCCCAGCAGCTCCCTGGCAGCTGGCTTTCCAGAACAGCACCAAGACCTTCCAAGATAATTCTCAGCCTCAGTCAGCACTGTGAGCCTGCCTCCAGCCAGGGGCCACCCTACCACGCCACACCAACAGCATGGAAACTCCAACCGCCAGACCCACCTGGTGCCCGGCTGCCCTCATGATCCTAGGCTGCAAAGGCTCCATGGCCAGCCGGCCAACCTGGGCTTCTAGGCACCTCCAAGACAAGCTGGGTTGCAACTGTTTCCTTTCAGCCCAACACAAAAGGGCTTTCTGCCCATGCCTTCTGGCAACCACAGTTGTTCCTTCTAAGCAAGACATCCCAGAAAATGATTTTAAAACACTGCACCACCCAGTTCAAAGGACATAATCAGACTAGGGTATAAATGAAGTGCCATTATCTATTTCACGGACCTCAAGTAAAATGCCAGGAGTCCTTCTGGGCCTAAGCTCTGACAGACAGAGCCACCATGAGGGTTCCATGCCCCGCTTCTTTGCTGTGTGGCTGTTTCTGTGCTCGCCTCTCAGGCCAAAGGAGCTACTTCAAGATCTGACCCGCACAGCCCATGCTGTGCTAACTCCAAAGCCACCCCTCAGTGCAAGTGAAGCCCCAGAGTGCCACAGCTAGAGCCAGGTCTGCAGGAGGGGAGCACCACCAGTCCGTCACCAGACTGACCCCCGCTCTGGCCTCTTATCTGAGGGACACACGTCAGGAGAGGGTTCCCAGTGCCATCTGCTGGCTGAACTTCCTTCTGCGCCTGCACTCTTCTCCAGTACAGTTTAAAAGGATATTTTGTGTTTGAGAAAAATAAAATTATATGAAAAATAAAACAGCCAAGACACACCACAGCTAATAAGCTGAACTGAGTGTCCTTGGCCTTCCTATCCCTGAAAGCCGTGTCAGGAGGGGAGGAGGCACTCACAGGTCTGACTGGGTCACTTTCTCATTCCACTCTCCGAGTTTCTCAGAAGTTTTCATGTAGCTAAAAACAGAAAGTCTGTGGTAAATTATTTAGAAAAACTACTTCAACACAGGTTGCAAACTGCAGATGAAATTCCAAGGAAAACAGAAGGACCAGCTGGCAGGAAGACTGGATCTCCAGCCTGCTTCTGCTCAGGACCTAGTCAGCAGGCCGGGTGAGGTCAGAGAGGCATGGACAGGCCTGGCTAGCTCTCCTCATGCCGAAGGCAGGCCTGCCCCATCAGCAGAAGTTGTCTCTCAGGGAACAGCTGTGAGGAGCAAGAAGGGCACTGCCATGGCCCCAAATGCAACTCTGACAGCCACCTTTTGGGTTTAAAGCCTATAAGTTTCTAAGACAGAGAACTGGGTTTTTCATAAGTGAGATTTATGAAATTCGATTTGGTCTTTCAGTGGGACACAGCTTCCAGACAATGTGAAACATTTCCCACCCACCCCACCCCGCCTCCTTGGAGAATATGTTTCAGAGGAGCCACACATCTACACTCCCCAAATCCAGAGCTGGGTCAGGGGTTCTGGGGTCATGATCACGTCATGCTCACAAGAAGGACACATGCCCACTTCAGCAGACACTGACCTATGGGGACCACTGGAAAGCCAGTCTCATTAAGCACCTAATTTGTATTCTCTCCAATTTAGACCCTGAAACATAGTCTTGTCAATTTCTGCTGGGACAACTAGCATGTTCACCACCTTTTAAAACCATACATGCAGACTCTAAACTCTGAGTAAACCAAATTCAGATCTGGTTGCTGGCAAGGATTCAGGGCCATGAGCTGGCAGCTTCCAGAGGGCACACCTCACCCCCAGGACTCAAGGCCCCCTCAAGCAGGCGGAGCGGACACTCACGCATTGGAGACCTGCACATCATGCCAACTCCTGGACAGGTTTTGCTTCAGGCCCTCCAAGGCGGAAAGGCCCAGCTTCCTCTTCAGCTCGCCACAGTGCCTCTCCTTGGCTGCCAGCACCTGGCGCAGAGTGACAATTTCCTCTTCCACCTGCGAAAGCATGCAGTTACCAGGTTTCAACCACCACTATGGCAGGAAGTGACTGACATCCTTATACATGCTACAAAGAGGGTTTCTCAGAATCACATGAGAATTCTCCATTTATAGAAACATAACTTGTCTTAGGAATAGTCTACAGTGGCCATCGCTTCTGTTTGTATTTGGTACCAGCACCTCAACTTTCTCTGGAGAACTGTCCTGCTCCCCTCAGCTGAGTGTCTACCCACAGATGGCAAGTCAGGCCTGTCAGAGGTCTGGACTGGGTACGTGAAGACAGCAGTCCCTTTCTGTCTGGGCTCCGGGTCTGGGCATGGGTAACAAAAGGTGGAAGGTAGGCAGGCAAGCCACATCTGCACCCAGGGGGAATTCCACACACAGAGGGAAGGAAGCAGAGCTGACAGACGGATGGATGGCCAGAGAAACACATGACAAAGAAACAACTCCAAGGACATCTGTGTTCCCAAGGTCAGCAGCAAGCCTTGGCAAAAGCCACTTACACAAGTCCAAAGAAAATTCTTTTTTGCTTAGTGTAGTTTGAGTTGGACAACAGGAAAAATCTTGACAAAAAACACCAGAACATTCTCTTGTCTTAAAGAGTAGACGACAAAAAGAAGCATCCTTTAGAGCCATTCTGCTTTAGATTCTCAATAGTTTCAGCTTCTACATGAACAGCTACTCTAAAAAACCATCCTTTCTTTAAAAAGTGATTGTTTGGATTAAGGCATTAACAGCCGCTTAGAGCCCTATCTGGCTAATCACTAGATTTTGCTTTAGAAAATACTGAAGAAACAATTAAAAATCAATGATCACCCAAGGCCAAACTATTACCAGTCACTCCAGCAGTGACACGTGGTGACATTAACTTTCCATTTATGGTGTCGTGGGCACATGGGTTTAACAGCCTGTGGACCCACAGGCTGACATTTTAACATGAGAGCGTCTTCAGTTTACAATTCACCTCTGAAAAAGACATTGTGGTTTTATTCTCTAAACCAGTATGTCCTGAAATAAAGAGTAAAACACAGGCTTCCTGGGACTTCTTGCTGCTTCTCCTTTAACCTCTGCTCAATTCAGAAAGGATGGCTTCCTCTGCATTCTAAAACCTGGTCCTGAGGCCAGGTTCATTCACACAACCAGTTCTGCTCAGACCCAAGTCTGGACCCAGGATGTTATCAGGATAGGCTTGTCTCCTAAGATGAAGCAGAGAACTGCGACAAGTGTGCTCCAACCCCTGCCTGACTGATGCTGACAAGTGCACTGCCCAGATTCTGGAATCTCAAATGAATCACTATCAGGTTCTGTATCACATCATAAAAAGAAACACTCTTGGCAGCTGGTTTGAATAAAAATTATATGCAGAGACTTTTATTCTTAATTCCTATTTCTTCTTAAGTAACTCTCACTTTGGAAAGATCACATGAAAAAAGAAGGAAAATGAAGATCCAGGAGCAGATACATCTGTGGGATCTTGAAAATGTTATGTTTACTCCAAAAGGGAAACCCGCAACAGATGAGTGCTTAGAGCAGCCGTGGACACTCCCCTCACAGAGAGCCTGCAAAGTGCCAGACACACACAAGCCAAGGATACAGAGGAGAGATTCTGTGGGGCTCCCAGGGCAATTTTCCTGGAGCACAGCCAGCACTCCAGCTCATTTTTAGGCAGAGAGGACCTCACAGCACCCCTGAGCGTACAGCCAAGACACAGAACCTTTGCAAGCTCCGCCCTGAGCTCCTCGGCCTCGGTCTCTGTCAGACCCTCAACAGCAGGAGCCTGGGCAGCCACCGCTGTGTCCACAGGGACATCTGTCATGGAGTCGGAGAGCAGACCTTTGTTAGGAGAATTCAGGTTGATATCTGCCAGAGACAAAATGTGGTCAGGAAAAAAATAAATAAGTGGTCAGAGTGCATCACGTAAGAAGTCACAGACGAATAAAGTGGGCAGAGATTCCGCCCCACCCTGGGGAGAGGGGCAAGACAGGATATGGAGAAAATGCCTTTTCTCTGAAAGGTTCTACAATGATGGCTGTGGCCACCAAACAAATAGCAGCCACATCTCAGACGACATAAGTTGCTTCTTTTATTTATTTTTTCTTTTTTTTTTTTTCATTTATATAAGTTGCTTCTTAAGGTTCCAGAAATGCTGGCACAAGGCAGCCATTCCCTAAATCTGGTTTCTCCTGTAGAATACTCTCTTCATGGGCAGAAAATCTTTGCTACAAACAAAGCAGCTGGAGCTAACAGATCTTCCTTTTTTTTTTAAGAGAAGGAACTTAGTGCTCACTTCGGCAGCACATGTATTAAGAGGAGGAACTTAATACAGCTGTAAACACAGTCAGCACCATTTTCTAATCAGCTGCTCTGCCAGGGCACAGGCTAAGATGACACACAGGAACACAGTCATCCAGGCCCTGTGGGGAGTCACCAAAACAAAACCAGTTTAATTTATCCTCAAAGCGCATTCCTTAGCACGGAGGCTGCAGCAAGACACAGGGGGAACACTACCTCACACACCTCGCTACATCCAAATCAGGTTCAATCTCTGCATCAAATGTTTTTTTCATATTAAATGCATTTTCCTGTATAAACTAAAAGTTTACAAGAACAATAGGTCTATGTCAGTTCTTTTCAATTCAAACACATGACCATCGTTTAGTATGTTGTACAAACACTGAAAACATCTTCCTTTTTGATCAGCACATTCTGTGAACAAACAAGCTCTGTATGGTATTTGGCACACTTAAAAGTAAACTAAAGGGAATTCTCTGGTGGTCCAGTGGTTAGGACTCTGCACTTTCACTGCAGAGGGTCTGAGTTCAATCCCTGGTTAGTGAACTAAGATACAAGTCAATTGGCTTGGCCACATAACTAAATAAATAAAAAGGCATAAAGGTTGCAAAGAAATAAAAGTGTCTTAAATTGCAGATATGCCTATCTACTTTAGAAATCCTAGTCTGCTAAAAATAAAACACACTTAAAAGCAAAGAAGCTCTACTTAGCTGGCTGTGTCATTCCTTTCACATGTCCACACAGCTGGAGTCAGGCACTTCTGTGGTGCTCTAGAGATGCTCACTAAATGAAGCATGTTTTGTTCTCTTTTAAATCAATTGATCCAAATTTTTAACTTAGATCAACCCATGTGGTTTTACTTACATCGTTTGTATCTGCTATGTTGAACCTACTTAATACTTAAATTCATTAAATGCTTTAAAGTCTTTACAACTTTTCTATTTTTAAAAACCAACCCTCACAGACTGGTAGTGTCTACCTATAAAGCTAAAACTGGATCCCACGGAAATCACCCCCAGATGAAACTGTACACTCACCAATCATGCTGGGCACTGCCCAGTCACTGGGGAAGACCCCCTGACTTACAGAAGACAAGGCAGGAAAGTGTCTTGCCAAAGGACCTACAGAGAACAAGCACTGGCTGGTGCAGTAGGCAACACTGGGGGCTAGCCCCTCACCTGGGTGAGTCACAGTTCAGCCTGTATAATTATCTGCAAAATGGGGGTAATACAAGGACCAATCTAAACAGGTTATTCTGAAAATGGAAAAATATCTCAGAAACAGACTTGGTATGGTGTCTGGCACATAGCAAGTGCTCAGTAAGTGTTTTCTGTCGTTCCTATGACCAGAACCCAGTGCATGCGACGAATTCTGATGTTTAATTAATATGCCCATACAGGTCAAACAGTAGAAGAACATCCTGAAATTATCCAGTAAAGTTCCATCAACGTAGTTTTAATCACCACACCCTCTAGAACCGCAGGATGGAAGACACACTTGTATCACGTCCTCAAAATCTCAAGCTTCTGGGCCCGCTCCACACCCGCCGCGGCCACCTCAAACTGGTCTGGGATGTCTGTTTCAGAAAGAGGCCTGGTATGCTGGGTGTGCCCCTGACTCACTGCACCCGTCCTCCTCGAGACAACTCCGAGGTAGGCTGGGATCCGAGCAGTGTTGCCACCCAAGGGGCGCTGCGCCCAACGCGCGGGCGGTGTTGCCTCCTCTCCCTCCGGCACACCCCCCCCCCCCCCACGGCGCCGCTCGGCACGTCGGCCCGCGTCCAGGGCCGGATGGAGTGTCCCCAAGGGCCCTGCGCAGGATCTGAGGGCGGCCCGCCGGGCAAGCGTTGGGCGGGGGTGTAGTGACAAAACCCAAGACTCTGGGGCGACGGAAAGGCGCCGGGTAACCAGTGCTCGGAGCAGTCCCAGCCGGGGGCGGAACGTCTGCCTGCAGCTTCTAGGCCAGGCGCCTGGGAGCTGAAGAGGGACAGCGGGGTAGGAGGGCGCAGGCGGAGAGGCCCAGAGCCCAGCACGCGACGCGAGGCCCACAGGTACCTTGGCCGGCGGAGTCCATGTTTAGATGGCTACCCGGCCGCAGCTGGCGTTGAGACCCGGTTCGAGGGCGCAGTGGGAGCCGAGCGGGCAGCACCAGCTGTAACTCGCCGCGTACACAGCAGCCAGCGGAACCTCCTCAGCAGCCGCGGCTTACGAAATCAGCAGCGCGACGACCCACTTCCGCTTTGACGTGCACTCCGCCCTCGCCCCGCCCCCTACTAGCAGTGTCCAAAGAGAGAGTGTTTTGGCCCCGTTCCTCTTCAACCTGATTGGCCGAGGCTGCGGACGAAGTCGGAAACAGAGGCCGGTCCACCAGCGAGAAACACAGGTAGAACGGTCTTGAGGAGCTCGAGGAAGGTGGGAAGTGGGAGGACCGTGTTTCATCGGGCTATGCAAGTTTGGAGCTGGGCATGCTGGAGGTCCCCAGCGTGTTTGCCACTGCCGGCTCACTTACTTTGGCGGGTCAGACTGAGGCCGCTCTGAGACCTGACCCCTTTACTTTGGGATTCTTTTTCTTTTTGAGTCCTTCCTTTTTGTAGAGATTTTTAAGCGTATGGGGACTGCACGAAAAAAGGCATGACCACCGGTTCCCTCTCCGGGCTGGAGGCGCCCACCCTCGGCACTGTGTTCTCTTCCTTTTGACAGCAACCTGGTGAGCCAGGTGGGGTCCTCACCCTTGCAGATGAGGAAACTGAGGCCAGAGTTATTTGCCATCACTCAGCTAGTTGAGTTGCTTCCAGATGACTCTGGAGAAGAGTTTCCTAGATTTGTCAAAGAAGAGGTGTGTAGCCATTAGGCAACCCGGTCCCACTAAAACAAGTCCCACAACTACCTACCCTTCTTTGGCTACCTAGTTGCCTCTGCAAGCAACCATTTAGTGGTATTCAAACCCTCAAGGATCTGACCTTTCTGGACAGCATTCCACCTAACAGCCAAGTCACTGCATGTACTGATCCCTAGGAAGGAAGCTCCTTCCTTTACCTGGGTAACTCTCTCACTTCCAAGCTCACCTTCCCACAGGTCTTCCTGGTACTTTAGGTCACCCTAGTTACCTGCCTCTGCCTGCACTGGCCCAGGTGCATCCAGGCCAGGTCCTGCTCTGCTGTTGTCTATTACATGCTTGCCCCACTTACCTTCTTTCAGTTTTTCCAGTTTCTAGCTGAACCCACCCTGGCCAGCTTCTATCCCAGCGGTTGGGAACAGCTGGTAGTCCCTACCTCATTCAATTTAGGGGAGGTGGTAAGGAAGCAACTATATTACAGATGGTGGTGGGCAGAGGGCCTGTCTTTCATTCTGTATGGCATCCCTGAGCCAGGAACAAAGCAATGAGTGGTCAGTCAGGTGTGTCTGTAGTCCCACCAGGACATGCCACTTATTCTGAATCTGTGGTTCCAAGGTGAACCCCATCCTATAGAAGCCAGGAGTGGGGTGGAGGAACCCTATGAAGCAGCAGCATTGCACTTGCACTCCTGAGGAGGTCACAGCCCTTCCAAAGCCAATGTCCTTTCGTAGTTACGAGTGACTTTCACAGACCCTTCAACATGCATCTTTTTCAGTCATCCTGTAACCCAGGCCAGGTGAAGGATGCCTCCTGGCGCCCCATAGCCTGTGTTCCCACCACCCTCTCCAGGCGCCAAGGCATCGATCACACAGGGTTCCCATAAACTGGGTCAGGTTAATCTTTGCATTCCCTTTACCAGCTGGGAGCAGATTGGAACGGTTCACAAGTGTTGGAGAGAAAAAGAGACAGGAGAGAGGGGACACCCGTGTGGGAGAGAGTGCAAGATCCCTTTGCACTCCCCCATTCTCCGCCAGACACCAGGTCGGGATCCAGGGCAGGGCCAGCTTTACTGGTTTGGGGTGGGGGTGGGGAAGGGACCTGCAGAAGCACGGTCTACAGCCTCCAGGGCAACTGAAAGTCCTCGGGTTCCAGCGGACTGCAATGGGTCGCCTCCACGTTTTTGAGGTGCTTGCGTGCCAAGAACAGCGCGAGCTGCCGCCGCCGCCGCGGACTCAAGCCCTGGCCCACTAGCCAGGGGAAGGCTAGCCCATGCGACCCCCAGGCCTCCTCGTCCTCATGCTGGTCCTCGCAGCGCGTGAGGTAGGAGCGCAGCAGGGATAGGCACCATTCGTCGTCCACGCGGTAGCGCGCATAGAAGGCGGCCTCTTGCTCCAGGCTGCCTGCGCGCAGCCAGCGGGTCACGATGGCGAGGCCCTCGCGCGCCATCACAGTTGGGTAGCGGTGCTGCAGCAGGCGCAGGAGCAGCTCGTTGCCGCGGTTGCCCTCCACGACGCCCGACGGCAGGGGGCGCAGGTGGCCCGAGGTGCTGACCACGTCGTCCTGTGTGCGCCGGAGCAGCAGCACCGGCCCAGGGTAGTGACACAGCTGCTCGGCCACGTTGAGATTGAAGTGCTCACGAACCGTGCGCACCACCAGCCCTTTCCAGCTGTGGGGCATGACCTTCAGGGCCAGCGGCACGAGATCGTCGAAGGTGGCATCGAGCACCAGCGCACCCAGCTCCGGGTACGTCATGGTGGCCCATGTGGCCGTGAAGCCGCCAATAGACCAGCCATAGACCACCACGTGTGCGGGCGGGAAGTGCAAGCGGTGCAGCGCGTACTTGACCACCACGTCCATGGCATTGGCATCATGCTGAGGGAACGGTGCGCCTGTGCTGCCCCCGAAGCCCGGGTGGTTCCAGCCCAGCACCGAGTAGCCAGCCTCCAGCGGCGCCGATAGGCAGCCCATCTCGTAGAAGCCGGCGTTGCCCTCGCAGCAGATGACCAGACGCAGGCCGCGGCCGTGGCTGCCCGGGTGCTGGCGGCGGTCCATGAACATGGTGTCGATCTCGTTGCCGTCACAGGCCACCAGCTTGGCGCGCCGGCCGCGGTAGCGCTCCACCAGGCGCTCCTGGCCTTGCTGCAGCAGCGGCAGCAGCGCGCGCGTCATCAGGAACATGGAGCCGGGGTACACAAGCCAACGGCCCAGCGAGTGGGCCAGCGCGTAGCTGGCGAGCTGGCTGGGCAGCTCACGGATCTGCTGCAGGAGGCACTGCGCCTGGCTGCGCACTGCGCGCGGCGGCCGAACCGGCGATTCCTCGCCCAGCGCTGCTCCCCGCAGTAGCCACACGCCCGCCGCTGCCGCCGCGCACGTCAGCGCGCGGTGACTGCTGCCGCTCCCAGCGGCGGCGCGCACGTCATCCCAGCGGAAGTCCACCGGCCAGCCGCGGAAGTTGTAGGTGTAGTTGGCTGTCAGGTAGATCTTGAACACGTGCACCAGCGCTTTCACAAAGCAGACCACGCACATGGGCACGAGGCCCTGAGTGCTGACCGAGCCCTAAGACCCAGTCGCTGGCCCGGGGTCGCGGTGGTGGTGGGAGGCCCAGGCCCGGCCCAGCGGGCGGCGGCAGGGGTAGGCGTGCGCTAGGCCGCCTCAGGACATGTCTCTTTGGGGCTTGGCCCTCGAGGCTTTTGTGACCTGGGCCCGCTGGGGCCCAGGGAAGTCGGCCTTTGCCTGGCTCGGGCTGGCTTTGTGAGTCACCGTTGCCTGGGGAGAGACCCGTGGTGGGCGCACAAAGGGTTCGCAGGCGTGGTGGACCCAGTTCTGCCCCGCCCCCCAGGACACAGCCTCAGGACCTCGGCGCAGCCACAGCCTCAACAGGCCTTCTCAGACCCGAATCCTCGAGATTTCATTAGCCTCTCACCTAAGGGCAAGCCCACCTCCACCCAAGCCTGAGCAGCGCCCCGCCCCCTCCTCCCTGAGCTGTAGGTGGACACACAGGTCGGAAATCAACAGTGCTGACCTCTTACTGGGTCTCACTGAGAAAAATGCAGGGCCGCCCACCACCTTGAACCAACTTGCGGTGAGAACCACCCACCCACCTTCCAAAGTACCCACCCTGGTGAGAGAGGGACCAGAGGCAGGGGGAAGCAGCACTGGGGATCAGGCTGTGAGAGTCTGAAAAGGCTACATGGGCCCCGGCTCCCCCACAGGCAGAGTGAGGGAGAGGGGAGTGGGTTGGAGGAGCGGTTCTCTGCCCAGCACTCCAGGGGCAGGGGCAAAGCTCAGAAAGTCCTTGGGGGAGCAGTGGAGGCTAGCTGCTGGGGCTCTTTGCTCACTGCCTGCGCCCCGGCCCTCCGCACCTTCTTTCCCAGGAAGGGGTGAGCGCAGGCTGGAAACCCCCGCCTGTTCTGGATCCTCTTTCCACTGGCGCCTGCAGAGGCAATGACCTTCTCCAGGTGGGTCCTTCCTGGCCAGTGTTCCTCATTTTGAGCCCCTGGTTGAGCTCTCCTCCCCCAGAAACCACCCCACAAGCTGTCCCTTCCTCTTTTCTGGAGGGCTTTATTGGGTTCTCCTTTCTGTCCTGCACCAGTGAGAGCTGGCCCACCTGATGAGGGCGAGACAGAGTCCCCAGGGAGGCAGGGAAGAGCCAGGCTCCTGGGGCGCCTTCAACAGTTGCATGGACCTAAAAGGGAATTTGGCAAACCCAGCCCACTCCTTGGAACCCAGGAGGCCTGGAGCCCAGCCCTCTGGGGAGGGGCTCCAGGCCCAAGCTTTCTCTGCTCTAATGCTCTGTGCAGCTGAGTTAGAGGCATTGCTGGCCCAGTCAGCCCCCACCTGGCTTGGGAAGCAGAGCTAAAGATCACTGCTGTCCTTTAGGGTTTGTGGGCAGGAGGGGTCAATAGGCAGTGAGTGAGCTGAGAGGTTTGAATGTCCATCCTCCACCCCCATTGCCACGTAAAATACAGAAAATCCAGTTAAAGTTCAATTTCAAGCAAACAACTGAAGCTTTCTGAGTATAAGTATGTCCTAAACATTGCATGGAACATACTCATATGAAAATATTGCTTATCTGAAGTTCAACTCTAACTGGATATCCTGGTTTTTTGCTAAATCTGGAAACTCAACCCCCAGGACGCCTCCCCCCAGGCCCTGAAGTCCAGATCTTTCTGATCATCCAGCTCCTGTTCCACTCTGGGCTGTTTCACTTATCAGTTAGGTCCTGAGACCCGAGAGGG